GTGTAGGCGCCTTGACCCTGAATGGTTGCTTAGGGCATTGAGGTTTTCAGGTAAATCCCCCTTCTCCCCCTCTTCTTGTTCTTTATTTTATAAGTCTTCATTGTTGTATGGCAGCGAAGCATCAGTTCAAATGGCTGAGGTACTGCTGTTGGTGATTATGAGTGGAAATCGATTAAGTGGATCTCTATTATTATTTATCGATATTATTATTTTTATTATTATCAAGTGGATCTCTAATGTTCGGGTAAGTGTTGTCTGTAGCAATGTGTGTAGATTGAGACGTCAATCTGAAAGAGGATCGAGGGCTTTAAATGGAAGCCGATGATCTGGAGTGGACCGCTTGGTGGGACATGGGCTTGTCAACAGGGCAGGAGTGACGCTCTGCATTTGCGTGAGTTGAAACTAAAAGCTAAACGCTTATCAAGGCAAGAATCGGGGGTTGAAAACATGAGTGATAAAAGTTGGAACGGCCGGCCCGTAGCCTAGAAGTAACGAGTTTGTCTCGTAATCTTGCGGCGTGGGTTCGAGCGTGCGTAGGGGCAGGGCGACCCTAGCAGTATCCTTAGCCCATATGCGACCGGCGGTGGTTGCGCGGCAGCGAAGCGTTGGTACTGCGTACCGGCGTACTGCTGACGCTTTTCTTTTTCTTTCTTTGGAACGGGACGATAAGGGTGAAGAATGGGAATAAGAAGACGAGAAGGTTTGGGTAGTAGCATCCAAACCCCTATCCACCCTGCTCGATACATTAGACAGGGCGACGTTTATTATCCTTTGCGATGGCCAGAGCATCAAGAAATCGTTTAATGAAGATTTCATAGTATTTCGTGGGCAGGATACTGTCAGGTTGCCCAGGCGCAGATCATCATCATCATCATCATACACGTTAGCTAAGGGTGGGGAACACCTCAGCTACTGTGGCCCAGACAGAAGAACCAATAGCGTTCTTAACCAAAGCCTTTGGTTCAACAACCTGACCGCAGGGCAGCGGGTTTGGCGGTGGGCTATGAGTCCGTTGTAAGGAATAAGGAGCCACCCTCATTAAAAACCCCAACCTGGAGGACAAGGAGGCTGAGATTTTCTGTCTTCCAACCATTGATCAATCTGGTATGAGTGGTTCTGAAGGTGCAAAAAAGCAACACACAACATGGCTCAATAGATCGATGAGGCACGCAAACTATCGTACCACGGTAAGGTCCAGCCTCATCACGATGGCAGTGCCTTTTCAGTTTGGTTCATATCTGGGGAGCACTGTGTGCACAATGAGCCTTTTCGGCACTTTGTTTGTAGCCCAAGAAGACGAAGCGAACCACTCAGTACCGTTATATCACACACCAGGCTCCGATAGCTCGGTCACGTGTTGCACATGCCAGCCTACTGACTTCCGCGACGTGCGTTGTTTGCTCGCAGCGGGTGTGGATAGAAGAAGAGGGGAATGGCCAAGCCATGACTTGATCGGGAGCTGGCTTCGGTTGGATTCGAAGGTTAAGGTCCGAAAGACGATGAAGACGTTTAACTGGATACACTTGTTGACACTGTGAGGAGCCGAGCTCAGTGAGGTTTGTGCTGTGAGCTTCTTTGTCCCTCCCCATCTAAACACGATCTGGTATTAACCCGTTACTGTATACTGTTGCTTGTACGCAACATACCAGAAAATTGTCCGCCAACTTGCTTTCACAGTTGTTCATATTAAAAGTAAGTTCCTTTGATAGAACAGATATTTAGTTTATTTCGATTGTCTATCGTTGTCTGACCGCAAAATCGTCTTTCGAACGACAAAACAGAGATGTGACTTAGAGGGAAATTCGCAAGTTTCTGCTTTAGACTGCAGATACTCCATGCAGGAAAGGGTTAAGAATAACTCTACTGCGACACAATAGCCGGCCGTTAGCTCAATTCGTCATCAGTGACAGCCGGCGTGCCTCTGTTGCATGTTATTTTATTGACTTAAGTATTGCGGCACAATAGCTGAGATGTTTTCATCTCTAGCTGACGTGTATAATGATGATGATGATGAGTTACTTGAATGGCGTGCATGCATACTTTAGTCGCTCACCCCAGTATTGACATTTTATAACAATGGTATGCCCCACTACATCCGTAGTGTCAGTTAAAAATGCTGTAAATGCTCCCAGTCGGGTGCATAAATCTTATTTTGACTTCGACTCGCGACATTTGTGGCATCGGAATGGGACTTCGCTCATTAACAACAGACATGTGTCCCAAACCACAGTAACAGCTCCTTTGGTTAGAGGGTCCAAAGCACCAACTCTTTGATCATCGTTGTCTGCTGAACACTGCTGGATGATGAACACGTTTGCTTGGACACACTTGCTGAAATGGTTAGCAGCCGGACCGAATGGCGTTAATACTGTGATTTTCTTTGTGCATCCCCTCTTCTTTAGATTCCCCCTTCAATCACGGTTTCATAGCAATAATAATATGATATTTAACACTACAGTACTGGTTTTTTGAACATTTTGTAGTGCTGTTTTTAGTATATCTTTTTGTATTGCGGAAGCTTTCGCACCCTCAGCTAGGGTGTATTGATGACGCTGATGACTGCCGAATAACGGCGATAATGCGCGTAGGTAAAATCCACGATGTTGCCACATCGATGTAGACAACTTGAGTCTGTCTACCACACGGTCGTTGTTGGAAAGTACAACGCGTCTGCTTTGCAACCCGGATTTCACCGATTCGAGCCTGCGCAAGGAACCGGACAACGCTTTTGGTATCCTTAGACAACGCGCGATTGATGGCAGTAGCGTGGTTGCGGAGCGTTGAACAGCGTACCATTTAATTTTAACACGAAGCCACTCTGCTTACTATTCCTCAACAACTAGACCATTATGATTGTACAGTAGTGAGGTAGCAGTTCAAATTACTGACATGATGCTCTGTTTATGATGCTGATCTTCTTAAGCCCAACCTTCAATATCTGCATCTGACTTTCAGTACTAAAGTGATCGAACTGTGCGAAGGTTTAAAAGTGATGGCTGGCAACGCCCAAGCCTGAAAATGCTAGTCACTGGAGTAACGATTACTTATTAATCACGTGTTCCATTTTTACAACTGATGTCATCATCAAGTGGAAAACAGCCATTGTACCGTAATTGACGTTCCTGATCCAACCGGTTTCGTGTTCAAGAACGGCATATGGGAAGAAACGCAGAATACTTGTTTCCTCTAATTTATGTACAAACTAGGACACCTTATGAGAGGCCGCGAACGCCAATAGGATGTTCGTTGTTATAAGATCAGTACGCCGGTTGATTATGGAGATTTTCAGAAATCATCTTACTTCAATTTGTGCCAAATCCTTGAATGCAGACTGCCAGCGGTCGATTCAATGAAAAATATAAAGGTAAATTAACAAAGAAAGCTCAAGGAGATGGATTGAAAGCGGCCTTAGCACTTCGGAAACTGTCTTGCTTTGATTTAAGGGTGGACCTGTTCTCCTCGGAGTGTCGTCGTCATTGCGAACTAGATTAGACCCGATGTATTCAAGGAGAGCTAGGGGAACAATCAACGGTACTTTAAGCTCTACGCTTATACTTCAACACGATACCATTGTTGGAAGCTACTTAAATCGAGAAGGCTCAGAGTTCACTCAGATTTCGCCTTGCTAAATTGCCTGCCGAATGACTGGAACAGCACACCAGAACCAGTCGTCTGCACACAAACACCTGGTTATTGCGAACGACCGCCAGATGCCAGTAGCACGCTATATCCATGGTGACTGGAACGGTCCCCAGAGATGCAGTGCAGCATCAACTCGTATCATCTATATACTTAGAGGAAAACCATGTGAACGACGAGGGAGACACTTTCTACCTAAAACAGCTCAAAGAACTAATGAGTGTGGGTTAAAATTCACCCATATCCTTGCTATCCAGGACAGTTTTAAAGTAATAATGCGTTAGTCGTACGAAGTCGCAGCGTGATCTATTGAGTAAGACGGATCACTTACATCAAACTGACAATATTATGATGCACGAACGCAATCGGGACGGTACATGAAGCCAGTGGTAGCCACCGGATGGCATTTTAATTAAGAGAATCATTTCGGGGTCCGCCTAGGTCGGCCAGCCGTAACTCGCTGAGGGAAAGATAAGAGAAATCCGTAAATTCTAAACATAATAACTATTATAATGTATCGTTACAAACACCGTTTTTTACCCATAAGTCGGTACACTCAAACAGAATCGCGCGAGTGATTAGTAGCGTAGCAGTACTGCCACTTAGTTACAGCTTTTTGTGCCCTTGACAGTTCCAGTGAGACAAATTTAGGACAAATATTGGTAACTTATGAACGATCAGCGTAAGTTAAAATCTTTAGCATTGTTATGACGATCTGGGAATCCATTTGCGCCCAATGTGCACGGTAATTGCGACCATAAAAAGTGCTTTAAGGGCACATCTTAAGGATGCGCGGGAAAAAATATTTCATGCGTCTCAGCTGGACGACCAGTGGCACAAAAGATCACACGAGGCGCTACAACGATCATCCTGAGAAATTCGACCATTGGAATGCATTGGATTATTGAGAGCAGGAGATAACTTGCCAGTTCTATCTGTTCGAATCATCATAAGGTGGGTGCTTGCTGTCGGGAAACGTTACTCCTTCGGATATCGTCTGCTTTAAAGTAAGAGGACCCTGTCATGTTCGTTAGATGGGTGTCTAGAAATTGTTTGAAACTTTGCCTGAGAGTCACTACCATGAGCAAAGTCACAATTTATCGCCAACAGGGATCCGGTCAGCATTAACGTACGCAGCTTGGAGGCAAGACAATTGCCTCGGTGGAACGATGCAATATCCTCGTATGGCTGGTCGAGGTGAGAATACTAAACTACAATAACGGCTATCAAGAATTCCAGTAAAAGGAAGCAGATGAAGTTCAGGGTAAGTAAATAAAATATGGCTGGACTAAAATGTAACCAATAGGTGTATCGCAAGCCCGCGTAACGATGTACAAGATTGACGCTAAAACAGAACTTACGTCGACGCGCCGATTCGCCCAAAGATGGTCGACGAGTTGCGCTCGAATTTCATTCGAAATCTGTGCCAACGGGCATGTGACCGGACATAAAACAACGCCCGCCTATTCGCTTTTGCAACAACCACATCTCCGTTAAATATAAACATTTGCATGAAAGTAAGATATTGTCAATGATAAAAGAAAGGTTATTCGGCGGGTTCTTCAAACTCGACCGCGACTAATGGGTAGCGTGCAACGACTCCGCAGCGCGAAAATGCGAACTGAAATAACAAATGAGGATGTTTAATTAGTTTAGTAACTATCCGATTGCACTATTCCTTTGTCATTGATAGTTCGTTTTAGATTCATTTGGCAAACACGGTTTTACTTGTATATTTCCTTATATTTTGCTCATTGCGGTTGTACCGTCAGCGCATCTTCTGCTTTCCCGGTCTTGGTTCCTCTACTGTTTTGCAATGAAGCGGTCGGCACGTCATTGGAGTTAACCTCGGCTGTGAAGCCTAGTACGGTTTGGTGAGTCCATTTCAATACCTACGTAGCGTAATTGGTCGTTCCGTCTGTTGCTCTCGTCGATTGCTAGCTGATCACCTTGAACGGCTCCACAGCTCCGTTGCTTAGCTCCTACCTTACTTCCCTTTTCTGACTCCTTTCTGCCGAGACGGTTGTCGCGGGTTGTCCAAACTCGCCTTGTCCTCCTTCCACAACTGGTTGATTATATGTGGCAATGCGTGGTATCTCAAAGCGGTTACAGACTCTTCGGGGCATGCAATACGAGAGCTGTATCAGTTAGTTCCACGAGGACCTACTGGCTAGAACCCGATTCCGTATCTAGTAGCGAAAACATACCATAAAGTTATGGTGACGTATTTGTGCATAGAACCGACCTTTGCATGCCTGTAAATAGCAGTCCTGTTTCTCTGGAAATACTTTGGTCTGATTTGTTCGCTAGATAAGAAAGTTGATTGAATTTTGTAGTGCCCGGACGACTCAGGTCTTTCCGTCAGAAAGGAGGGAAGGGTCCTTACAAGTTGCCAGACCGGGTGTCTGCTCAAAGTCTACTGCCAGTAGGTCAATGAGTAAGTACACTGTTAACCACGAACACCCAGATAACGAGATTGCCTCAGCTGTAAGTGTTGGCGACAAGCGGGCTTCTGTCCTAATTAGAGGAAAGCGGAAGAAGCTCGAAAAGTGACCAAAGCCAAGGCAGACTACGCCGTCCGTGGGGTGCCCTATCCCCTCCCCTCAACTTCTCTTACTGATGTCGCATCGCGGGTGGAGTTTTCTACGAAGTTGGGGTCTATTAAACTTGACGTTAACACGAAACCGCCAACGTCCACAGAGCGTTCGTTAAATACGCCGAGTCGAGGAGAGCCATATACGGACTGCAGTGTTCTTTTCAGGAATGTCACTGAGCCTTCAGCTGTTCTTCCATTAGAGCATATGTTAGCTGACCTTCGGGGACTAAGAATATGCGTTAGCTATATCCTGCCGACAAGCTTTCTCTTGTGGCTATAAGAAAACATTCCAGACTCGGTAACTTGCCGGCTGACCAGTTTGTATCTGGCTCTCGCTTGTTGAGAGTTGCTCTGTTCGCTCCAGAAGAGCGCGGCGTTTCTCTGCGTTTCCTATTTAGGCGTAAGGGAACTGGTGTGTTTTCAACCAGATCTCCATGTGGCGAAGCGTTGCAGAAACTACAGGAGGCTGTGCAGGATATTAAAGCCCGTCGTGAAGCAGAAGCAAAGTGTCTCCGCTTGGTAAGGTTTCTGGTGGTGAGCCAGCGGTCCACTTTCGCCTGCCTGAATCGGTTCGGGTGGCGAATGATCCCCGTCTCACGGTGATACAGGTGGCATTCAGTAATGTGCGTAACCTGCAGAAATAGCTGAGCGAATTCGGCGCCCTTGTCAGCAATGGCCGTCCAGATTTTCTCTCAGTTACTGTATGGTGGTTGTTCACCGAGGTCAGATAGAGTAAAGCGTGCCTGCCAGGTTAAGCACTAATGAGGTGTGACCACAGCTTCGGACTCGCGGAGGTGGAGTTGCTTGTTAGCCCCACTCCAAAGTTACTGCATTGAAGACGTACACTTTCCGCTGACCAGACTGTTCTGTTGTGGCAATGGCCGTTTCTTTGTTTATTGCATCCATGCAACTTAAATTCGTGTTGGGCTAAATGAGTCCTGATAGAATTGCCAATGGCGCAATCAACAATGAACAATGATTTAGAACGGGCAAAACGCAAGTGCCTGACATGTCCCGTCGGGTGGTTAGAGTATGGAAAGATAGCTCAGGGAATATTGGAATCGTCGGTTCAGGTGATTAAGATTTAACCCCACTACAGTACAAAGAGAGTTTAAAGTTAAAATGCGCGCATACGAAGGAAATAAGGAGAGTGGTTATTGAGTATGTAATAAGCAATCAAAAGACAAAAATATAGAAAGGACAACGCTCACTCGTGTGCAGCTATCTCGGGTTTACTAGAGAGAAAGCCAGTTTCTACAGTAGTAGCATTTATGAACTTGTGCGCAAGGGGTTTGGAGCGACTCATTCTCGAGTGAGGTTATGGCCCTGTCTAGTGTCTGTTGTGCCTTAGTGCCAGCATCTTGCAGTCAAGAGCTATAGCACGTAGTGTAAATGTGACAGAATTTCCTCAAGGCGTATTTTGAAAAGGGACAGGGTGGGTGCATTAATTACCTGTTCCGGGAGGTCGTCCTAAGGCTGTGAAACTCGAAGGGAGAAATAGTTTCTCCGACATTCCAGGTGACTGTACCGCGTGCCCAGCTTAAACTAATGACCCCTTAAAGGAGTGTTTTGTCTGAATATCAGAAGGTAATGACTTGGGTGGTTGGGGTTTCTCAGGATCCGGTACACCATTATGAGATCGCCCCTTAGAGACCGATAACGTCCACCGTATGTTTTTGAGAGTCTTCAGTCTGAGTGGGTAGGGGAGGTTCGTCAAACCTCTGACGCTCTTTGTTTCTCTACTTTGTGTAGTATCCAGCGCGGTGAGGTCGTGCTTAAGCCAGAGTTGCCATGCTTGAATTGAGTATTCCGCGCGCGGCCTCATCTACACACTAAACATTACTAGGAAGGATGAAGGGACAAGCTTCCCGAAAGCTCTGCAAATAAGGCCGAGATACTGGTTTACTTTCTTGGATACCTTTTCAGTCTGCCTGAATCAACGGATATCACTGGAACTAGCACGCCGAGATCGCACTCGTGAAAAGCCCGCTGTAGAATTTGCGGTCCTAGGCGGTGATCGTGCGTACTCTTGTGCCGTATGCTGAAAACTTCGCACTTGGTGACGCTGAAATGCAGCAGGATCTCCGCGGACCGTGTGTACACTATGCCCAGTTCTCCAATAACGCTGTGTTATCCTCCACTGTAGCTAGGGTACTCCATACCTTTAGATTGTCATCAAGTAGCAAACAGTTAGATGATGCCACTTTTGCGAGCTCATGCCTAATTTGGTGTATCTCCATAATTTTGAGAATAAACTAGTTATTTATGCATTTATTTATTTATTTAAACCGGAAACAAGTGGGGTCCAATTACCGAGCCCTGAGGTGCATCGCACTTTTATCCGTGCGCATACATATAAATAAATAAATAAATAAATACTTTATTCTCGACTATGCGAGGCACGCCCATGGAGGCATGATTAGATATGTACAACTGTACAAATATTTTATGGCAACCGTGACAGCAATAGTAGAAAATTTGTGATATGTTCGTGGTAAAATAAATAAATAGATAGTTTATTCTCAGCTTCATAGAGACGCACCAACTTAAGCATGATCAAGGTTTAAAACTGTTGTGTATCACGACGATACTCCGGGTTCAATCGTGTATAGTTGAAACGGTGTCAAGAGGAGTTGATATGTGAATCTAGTCGGCTTGCCAGTATGTAGTTGTGGGCTGTGACTTTATTCAGTGGCGAGTCACATCCGCCACGTCGCAGTGTTGTTAAATAGACATATGTGGCTTTTTATAGGGAGAACGCTTGCCAGGCGAAAACCCACCACGTTCTGCAACACTGCCGTAAAGCATTTTGAACATTAATGTTGAACTGGCAAAGCCGCTTGACGACTGGTTTCACATTCGGTTTTTCGCGGGGTAATGGCTTCTAATTTCCTCTGTTAGTTGGACGGGTATTTTGCTCTGGGTCGCCATGATTTTTTGGGGTCGCTGTAGGAGAGGGACATCGCGATTTTTCTTCTTGTTGTATGTCCAGGTGACCAAAAGTTTCAATTTTTCCGCTGTTCAGATTTTTCAGATGTATAATGTATGGGAGTATGAGGATGTGTCCAGTTCTCCATACTGGACAAGGGTTGTGATGATTGTAGGTTGGTCCTTGCGGAGTTTTACTATCCTCCATGTCAGTCCTTGTGGGTTGTTCCGTCCGCCTTGGGCAAAATTGTTCCTCAGTCCAATCCCAGATCTCCAAGATGTCCCGGACCTCAGAGAAAAGGGAAAGTGGGAGACAACCGAGAGAAGACCGCAAGAACAGGCATGGAATTGAATATTGTTAGTGTCTTGTGTTATAACATTTGGGCATGAGACAAAAGCATGTACACTGTGCAACAATAATTATGCTGAAAATGTCTTTTGAGTATCCTATAGAATCATTAGCCGTATAGGTGGATTGCTATCGCCTGCGTAGGGACAATAGCGTTGCACCAGTAAGTAAGGTACGAGTATCCATTTGATATGAGTCGATAGTTGCGTGGGGATAGAGCAAAGAGAGTTAGAATGTTGGTAGTTATTGTCAGGTGCATGAACAGCACGTAGTTAGTGTGATCCGAGAGAGGGGCATAATAAGCGAAAATAAATAGGTTGCTGCGAGAGAGCCTTAGAGCTCAATTGGTGGCAGGGCAGCGGAGGGACTGGATGCAGATATTCTAGAGGAGTAGAGGTTAATCAGATACGGGGTGGCTCCTAACAAGCACTGGATCATCGCATATGCATGGGGCCGATGGCCATTAGCTACTTCTGAAGAGAAATGCCGAATTTATGACGACGTATAGTGTTTAGTGATGGCAAAGTGTAATCGCTCCGAGGTTGCCTGGCCTACTTCCTCCTGCAAGGCTGTTTCAAGGTGCTGTGTTATTGAGCTTCTCGTTGTGCCTTGCATGCTTCCCTGCAGCTTTTCTTTGTTC